GCCTCCCCCAAGCCTCTCCCTCCCTCAATGCTTTCCCCTCCTTTCTCCCCCTGATCTCCAGCGCTCCACCCGTGCGCACTGCCTCTGCCGCCACTTTCTGAGCCTTTTCTGTGACTCTTGGGCTGGCAAACTCCACTCTCCCACCACTTTGCGTATGCGCAGGAGCGCGTGCCACTGTCAGCAGAAGCCTGGGAGTCTGAGCGTGGCCGAGGTGCTTCCTTCAAACGCTCGCCTCCCGACGGGCTCCAACGAGGCCGGGGCGGTGCTCCTCGCTGCCCTCTCGCCTCCCGATGGGCTCCAACGAGGCCAGGGTGGCGCTCCTTGCTGCCCTCCATGGGAAAGTCAAATGGCGGAGGGTGCCGAGGACCGAGGCGGCCGCCCTGGCAAGCAGCCGCTGGTACCGGTTCCGTTGCTGCAGGCACCAGTGGTGGCATCAGCCTGGTGAGGGTGATGAGGCACGCCACCCCAGGCCTTGTTGGAACCTGCCAGGAGGCGAGCAGCTGTAGCACCCAGGCATGCTCATCCTCCCGGCTTTTTGCCATTGCTGCCGCCACCGCTGCCGCCACCAGGCCACAAAGACAGACCTTTTCCCCCACGCACTCCCCTCCCCATAGCTGCTTTGCGCACATGGGCGCATGAGTGAAGTGGTGAGGAAGTGCTCATGCTGGCGCTGGCACGCATGTGCGTGCAGAAAGCAGCTGTGGGGGGAGTGCGTGCAGGGGGGGAGAGGTCTGTCTTCATGGCCCGGTTGGCCTCAAGCCACGGACTGGCAATGGGCCGCAGAACAGGGGTTGCCAATCAGTGGGCTAATCAAAGCAACCAGGCCTATAACAACGGAATGGGCCACAGTGATAATTAATGGGTCTTTCCTTGAGGGCAGGGTTCCCGTCAATGCTTGACTTTATTTTTATTATAATTTTCTGTTTTCCCATCTTGAGCATTGCTAAGCATATAATTTTACAATTGTTTTGAACTGTTTTGAACTGTTTTAGTTTACAATGTTTAATGGAACCCGCCCAGAGCAGACTTTGTCTAAAAGGGTGGGATAGAAATCTAATAAATAAAATAAATAAATGTTCCCATGGATTTTTGGAGGCAGGCAAGTAGAGGGATATGGTGGGGCTGCAGGTTAAACCACAGAAACTTCTGTGCTGCAAGGTCAGAAGACCAGCAGTCGTAAGATTGAATCCATGCAACAGAGTGAGCTCCCATCACTTGTCCCAACTCCTGCCAACCTAGCAGTTCGAAAGCATGTAAAAATGTGAATAAATAGGTACCACCTTGGTGGGAAAGTAACGGCATTCCGTGTCTAGTCACGCTGGCCACGTGACCACAGAAAGTGTCTTCAGACAAATGCTGGCTCTATGGCTTGGAAACGGGAATGAGCACCACACCCTGGAGGCAGACACAATTGGACTAAATGTCAAGGGGAACCTTTACTTTAACTTAAATTATATTTTTTGCATAATGATGAGTGCATTAATTTTGCTACCCTATCGTGTTTAATTTGTAGTCTGTGCAATCTTTGGACATTTGCAGATGAGGTGTTACACAGTTTTATCTTTTTCTTGGTAGAGTCAACATTTGTTGTTGGCACCCATTCCTTGGATCTCAGCTTTCATCACATTGGTTTGGAGTGCTTGTTCTTATGCAGCAAAAATCAAGCTTTTGGTTTCTTTCTTAATGGTCCCCAGTTTTAGCCATTGTTGTTGTTTAGTTGTTAAGTTGTGTCGGACTCTTTGTGACCCCATGGACCAGAGCACACCAGGCCCTCCTGTCTTCCACTGCCTCCTGGGTTTTAGCCATACCCATGTTGAATTATGATCATGCTTTCCCCAATATTTCTCGGGTGTTGTCCATGTAGTGATTTATTTTTCCAACTGTCTAATTTATTTTCAAATTGTTATTTCTTATATTGAGCGTTGTTCTGTTGTTTTCAAATATTCTACATTTTCACTGCTTTCAGTACTTATTATTATTAAAAAATACCAGACACTGTCAATCAAAATTATAAAAACATTGACTACTTCTTATTCAGCTAAGAAATTATGCTTTCTCTCCAAAGTGGATCAGGTTATTACATACTTTCCCATGATTGCTTCTATGGGTCTCCAGTGCAAAAGGGTGGTTGTTCCCACGTCATTGTTGCCTTTGAAACAAATGATTTTTCAGTAGTTGTAATGGTAACAATATCTTTACTTGCACACTGAAATTTATGTTGATGCCTCTTGTGGGGGCAGGGGAAGGGTATGTATTTTTTATCTCATACCAGACACTGCACACAACTACACTATCACACAACTACACTATTTTCTGTACTTTGAAAATTTGAAGGAAGTCCAAGTGGGTCATCAGTAAGCCTAAAATAAAGTGTTCAGGCTGGAAGGACCTATAAGAGAAGATAGGTACAACCCCCATCCTATCCTACATTATTGAGAGCAAAGTCAGAAAATGAAAAAAAATGTGTTTTTTTCTAGGAATATTAAAGCAACAAGTAAAAAATGCTTACTGTTGGTTTCTTGGAGTTTGGCAAATCCATTTTGTTGCCTTTTTTTAAACTAAAACTCATAGAATCCCCTAGCCAACATGGGAGTCGTATTCATAGAATCCCCTAGCCAACATGCAAATCTGCATAACTACAGTAAATGTATCCTTTTATACAACATTTCAAAAACTTTTTGTTTGTTTCTACAAAAAATGCATTTTAACCAGTGTTTTCCAAACTCTGGAGATTCTGGAAAGGTTCTGCACAGCTGAGTTTCTCTACAAATTAGTGGTCTCCTGAAGTTTTTATATGTTCCTGCACTCATTGGAGACAGCTAAATCTGAGCTTCAGTGAGCTGGGCTCTAGGATGGAACTCTCAAGCGAAAATATGGGAATTTAAGATGAGAGGCAGCTGTTGGGGGATATAATTACTGATACAAGTGATTCAGCAGGATCCTCTGGACTCTCCTGCAGATCAACATTCCATTAGCAAGATTTCACAGGGAGTGTTTACCAGCTAAAGGGACATCCAAGGTCATTAAATCATAGGCCAAAGAGACATCCCAGGTCTTTGATATTAAGCCTAGAAGGACAGTGTACTTGATGCCCATTTAGATAGAAAAGCAAGAAGACTGCAGTTAAGTTTAAGAAGAGAATGGATGTTTATGTGTGTTGTTTTTCAAATGGATGCTAGAAAGAAGTTGGTGTCTGTTCTCTCTTCCAAGCTGATTGAGGTTTTGCTGCCAGGGGCAATGTAGCCTTCTCCAGTTCCTTGGACAGAAGCAAATTGACTGGGCAGTTGATGTGATGAGACAGTATCACACACTGTACTGTATGTGGGGCTTTTGGTGACATAAGACCAGTTGAAGGTGTTCAGGGAACTGACATATTACCGGATCAGTTTAATTTTACACAGATTCTATGCAATACTTTTGCTTGCTTGTATAAGCCTTTCAATCTGCCAGCTATGTAAAATTGTTGGTGCACATGTATCTTATTAACTTAACTCCCAATAACATCATGCTCATAATAAAGTATGTTCTGTCATTCTGCTGTTTTACATATGAAAGAAATGGCTACCTGATTCACACATCAGAATACACCGTGCTTCTATGTGAACCTTGGTTTATTGATAATTAGCAACATGTCAGTGCATGCCTCTTAATCATTTGTAGTTTGATTAAACAAACCACAAATCCTCCATTTATGGTTGGTTTAGCGTGACATCCAAATCTAGCAAAAGCTTATAGTCTGTCTTTTCCCTCCCCTAGCAAACTACAATAACAACCCATTATTTCTTCTAATCTATCATAATTTATATGGGTTGCTGGGGAAGAGAGAAGCCAGAGTGCTAGATTCAGATATCTTGAAAAGCAAACCATGACATGGTGGGAGAATCCATGGTTTGTTGAGTTGCTTCTGCTGTAAGCAGGAACAAGCATCCATTGTGCACTAGTTTACTGCCTCATCTGGAGTAAGCCTGAATTCTACAGAATTCTGACTTTTTAAACTCCCAAATATTTCAAACAGGACCATCCTGAAAAGGACCTTTCAAACTGTAGGCTCTGTTTTGGTGTCTGTTGTAACTGCGGCATAGTAATGGCTTTCAGAATGGGACAATTGCAATTACAATTAAAGTTTTTTAAAAATCTAAAAAGCAGCCACAAAAATACCTCTTCTTTGAGGAGAAAGAGGGGAAGAAAGAGAAACCTACACTATGGTCTGCACAAATGGCATTCTTGTGATTTCAGGAGGGTAAAGATAGGGTAAGAGGTGTTGCAGCGTTTTGAATTTCTGATAAAATTCTTTTTTTGTTACAGCAGAAGTTCCAAAATTCACAGAGGAGTGTAAGTTCCCCAGACATCTTTAGGAGAAAAAATAAAAACATTTATTCAGTTACAGTTGCTTGAAATTACATACTTGTGTAGACTGCTTTCTTTAATACACACATACTAGCAACCAACAAAAAGATCCAACGGTAACAAAACAACTGCCACCCATTTATGAAAGAGAGGGATAGAACATTCAGCAGGGAGGTGGGACTCTTTTTGAATTGAAAGACTGGAAGGAACAATGGGTTAGTGTTGGATAGATAGACAATCACCCCAACCCAGAGAAGCCCTTCCCGGGTTGTAAATAAAACTCCAACATAGGGCTTATTTTATTTCTCCTGTAGATGTCATGTTATGTTTTTGTTTCTGGCTATGTCTAGCTGAAATAGTAAGTAGGTTAATATTTTGCCTTGAGCCGATGGAGGATGCCAGACTAGATGATGTGGAATGACTGGCATGATAGACTGTTCCCATAAATCCAGGCACAGTCTTTGTCTTTAGTAGCAAACAGTATGATTGTGCTATCGTGCAATGCAGAAAGTATTTGTAGCCAGTCATACATTTTCCCACTCTGTTTCCAGAACTGAAAGCTCTGGGAAATGTTGTGTTCCTTCCTTAATAATAAATGCAAAAATTTGTAACTTAAGTCATTTGAATGCTCTTTCCCACATACAGCATATGCAATGGAATGTGTCGGTCAGTTTTGTTTCTACAGTCCTCAAAATGTATAGAAAAAAGTGACACAGGCACATGTAGTCTTTCAGGTACTGAATATCCATTTATTTATTCTAGTTATACAAAATGTGCTCTGTTAGCTTTCAGAGTAAAGACTTCTCAAGACACATTGTGAAGAGGAAAACATAGAACAATAGTACTACAAATAAGTAACCAAGATGGCATATATTTTCCATTTCAACATATGGCAATCCATCTCCACTTGTAACACTCTTAATTTTTCTGGTGTTCTTAGGATCCAGCTGACACTAAATTAACAACTTGTGCAGTTCTGTCATCTCTTATGCAGAAAAACGTTCCATTTATTTCAGCTGAACACAGTGAATGAATAACCAGGTAAACAATTCCAATTTATATTCATTCCCTTAGAGCAAATATGGACAGGGACTCCATGTTTTTCCCCCAACAGTGTTTCACAGAGAATGTAGCAACTAGAAAACAGACAAAAATATAGCAGCTTAAACTAGCTGTCATTTGGATGTATCACAGGATCTTAAGGTCTGAGGCTGGATCTTGACAGAAGTATTTGTGAACCTGGTGCCATCTAGTGATTCCTCAGCAACTTGCTGAGGCACTCAGACTGATGCTTATTCACCCATAGCAGGCAGGTTTATTAATGTAGGTATACCTGGTATTGAAAAGCAGTGCACACTAAAAGTAGAGTATTGATGAGTGGCACCTTTGTTGAGGTGCTCAGTTACATACAAACAGTGTCCACCTCAATGTATTGCTGCCTATGGGATGTGCCTTCAGCTGTGCATCCTCATCTATGTTCTGCCTCAGTCAGCAATGTTTGCAGGAATTTTGGAGGGCAGGAGAAAGGAATTATTGGCTGAAACGGTTGCTTAGCATAGTAAGTCACAACTAGAGTAGCTCCATTTGAATAAATGGAACTTATGGAGGAGTTGACTCACCAGATCCCCAGTGATGCAGTGTGTCTACATTAGTGTATCTTACTACACTGAGCAACAGGAATTCAGCTCTTGTGTGTAGAAATTTTTCTACACACAAAGAGAAGTTGATTGGGAGAGGGGAAATATTAGCATGTGATATTGAAAGAGGATAAAACCTTCTGTGAAACATAATGTATGGAGTGTTGTCTTGACTGCCTAAAACAATTGCCATGTGCTCCTTGTTTTCCTCCACCTTCAGACTAAAGCCAAGGTGAAGGCTTTGTTTTTCAGTTATGTCACTATGTAACCAAATCTGCTTGGTTCTTATGAATCACTGGGATAGCACCATGCTCCATTGGTGACTCCACATTAACTAGCATTATAAAGTAGACAAAGCTATCAAAGCTGCAAAAGGAAAGATATTAAAAAGTGGAAACTTTAGTTTTGGTGCAGGGTGGCAGTGTTTGGTTATAATAATTTTCCACTCATTTGTGAACTGGGACACACACACATGTGCAGGATAGCAATTGTTGCTACACGTGAGCATGGACAAAACTGGTTAGGTTTGAAGAGACAATATTTTAACCATATTGTAGAGTGCACATTCTGAATCACCAAGTGTAGTCTAATTACCGTTTTAGACAGAAATCAAATTCAAAATGGAAGTGAGTAATGCAAACAACTATTTCCTTGAGGTCTACACCATGGCCTAGCCTCACAGTAGACTATACCAAGGTTTATTTGTGGAAGCAGCTTTGTAAAAAAAACAAATAAGCAAACAAATTTTACGAATTTGGTTGTTTTAAGGCCCAAATGACCACAATGACATCATTTTTATTTAATAACGTGAGTACAATATAAAATATGAACCCAACAGGGAATCTCCAATCATTTAAAACATTGTGATCCAAGGAAGCAAATTACTGAATCTTTGTGCTTGCTTAAATTACTGCATTATCAAACCTCTGATCACTTTCATGAATGAACTGAGGATGAATTGTGAATAATTTAAGTAAGGATGAGGACTGTGAGCTAAAGCTAGCCTTAACTGGATGTACAAAGCAAATTGTTTTGGGAGAGCAGGGGAAACTACTGTAGATTTAAACATCCTAGCTTTGTTCAGATTCTTGTTCCATGCCCTTCTCTCCAGCCACTTTGCTATTTGGTTAAATATTAAAAGTATAGGTGGGGGAAACCCTAGATGCACCACTGAGATGCACCTTGAACTTTGTGCTTATATAGCCCATGTGCTTTACCTCAGGAAAAGGTGACACAGATTGCTGAATTGAGCCAAAATCTAAAATGCTCGTAGAAGGGCAGACCATGAAACTATGGTTTGAAAATGAGAAACGATAAAGGGAATGTACATTCAACCTGGATTACAAAATACATGTGTACAAGGAAGGTAATCAGCAAGATTTGTTAGTCTAGCAAAAAGTACTGATACAGTATAGGGATAGTAGACTACAAAAGTGTTTGTTGCTGCAATCCTACAAAAGGGATTGTTATGGAAATACTGAAGGCAGTAATACAGTAAAATACATCAGGCAGTAAAACCCCACTGAAGACAGTAGGATTCACGTCAACTGATATACCAAGTCAATACACCAGGCCTTTTATCTGGTGTCAGTAGAATAATTTTCATGTTTAGAATCAGGAAATGGATTATCGGGACAGCAAGAATATTCCCTCTAGTTAGTAACTCTGGTTTTCTATACATTGATTTGCTCAGGTATATGACAGAGAGACATGGTGAAGGGTTTATGTCTTTATGAAACAAATAGCATGTTTTTCTTAACACACATCTCCTTCATTCCCCTGATAATGCATCTTTCAGTAAATGTCTGATGTTTAGCTTAATGTTGACAACCCAATATGAATACTAAGAATCCCAAATGTTTTGAATAACTGAAAACTCAGATCAAATCACTGAATGTTAATAGTAATCCAAATACTGTTCAATCCCGCCCCTCCCAGATTAATATCAATAAAAAGTATTTTTTAAAATAAATATGCAAGACTTGAAGAAACAGCTGAAAATATTAGGACTGCAATCTGGGGGGAAAAGAACTACCCACCTCTTAAAATAGGCAGAACCCCAGAAACATGCATCAGGTTATTTTGTACAAGCAAATATTATTCTGAAATTTTCCTTCTACATTTTTTTATTTCTGTCTATAATGTTTTATACAGTTCCCAGCATAACCCTATACCTGCCTCCTTGGACTGGTATCCTATTTAGAGGTTGAACAAATTACCCCTTTTCACACTACAGCTTCTAGAAACCCCCACCCAACAGGCACTTCTATGCATAATAAATGCAAATTTTGGTGCCTATAAATGCCTGATTGTATCTTGTCATATTTCCTTGTCAGAGCATATTGGAATGATCCCACTGAACGTACCTCTTCCTTCTTTGAAATCATCAGTCATCCTACTGGAAAATCTTTGGATTATGAGTTAGAAGTCATTAACTATGGCCAGACAATCACATTTTTTGAGCTGGGCCATTTCACTGGCACATATGCTTTTTAACATAATGAAAATTAAAGGCCCTGGCATGTGTTATTGCGACTTATTGTAACTCTGTGGAGGAATGACTTCCAAAATGTTATGCCATGTAGAGACACAAATCCCATGATCCAAGAGTTTACTGTCTACATTACAACACATTCTGAGGATTCTGTGAATTTTTTTGCTGAGTCAGATAAGAATTTGGTTGCCTCAGCTCCTGAAACTAGCTTGCTCTCTGTACAGCTATATATGTGCATCTGTGTTCGATATGAATCTAACATTCAGGACCCTCCCACATTGTCCTAAGTCCGTCTTAAGGCAGAAGAACATAGGATACCAGCAACTGTGGTTACAATAATATTGTATTATTACTGTTAAACAGGGCTACAATCTGTTAGTGTTAAGCATTTTCCCAACAATTCAGAAGACTGCAGAAAGGAAGCAGAATGAGGAAATCAGACATCAGAAGAAAAAACACCCCTTGTAATTAGTTACTTTGGGGGGTGTTATAGTCCAAAAAACCTATGAAAGACCACAGCTTGCCACATATGTTACAGCAGAACAATTTACTCCATAGGTGTTAGATGTTAACACAGGACAGCTAAGGAACTGATCTATCTTCCCATTTCCCTCTTGCAGATACAGTTCTTTTCTGAAGCCATGACTGATTTATAAAGTCTTTCTAACTATAGATTGCTTTTAAAAAGAATTACTTATGACCCTTCAAGCAAACCCTTACCCCACATAGCTGCTCTCATCTCCACAGTTTCTGTCTTTTGGGGCTGTCCATAGGCAGGAATTAACCTGCCTTGTTTTTCTTCTGACATGTCATAAGGTGATCCTAACCCATCTTTATTATCTGTCGAGGAAAGATACTACTCATAAAGATACTTCTCAGTGTCATGTCCAATATTGTGGCCTTGATTGTTGTACAAGCAAAAGAACAAAAAATCCAGAGCTTTTCCATCCACCTTCATCATTAAGCCATTTATGGCCTATGACAAAGTATCTCCCTTGAGGGTAGCACTTAACTAGAAAGGATTTTCAGCACTGTGTGCTTGTCTTGTGGGCATAAGTCTGTTGCTCTAAGGCTGTTCCAAAGCACATTCTATAGACAGAAGAGGCAGCAGCTATTGTTGACTGTTAGGCTTTGTCTACATTGGTCCTATGAGTGTAGCATATTTGACAGAAAGGATAGGAGGTCCTGCCTTCACATCCTATACCGGGCAGCCAATTTGCTTCTTGATTGTCTCCTATGTACAGACCACTCCAGTGAAACTTTTACTGGTTCAGCTTCAGAGGCTCTTAATTCTCTCTCTCTGAGTTTGGAGCCACGTGATATTGTTGGTCTATTACTTCCCAAACTTCCAAACTTCCCGCAAGGTAGCCTTTACCTTGAACTTTGGTACTTGGAGGACAACCCCATATTTGCCCTCTGGCTCAGGCAAGGTGTGGCCTTCAGGGGCACTCAGTGTGAATTGTTGCAAAATCCAAGACAAAAAGAGAAACAGCTCCATTTTGGCCAGTGCTTCTCCCAAGCAAACTCGAATACCAGCTCCAAAGGGGAGGTAACTGACTGAAGGGGAGTAGATCCGTTTCCCATCATCATCAAAGAAACGTTCTGTGGGGAGGAAAGGAGAGACATAAAATATAAAATGTCAAGCTCAATGTTGAGATGTTTCCTTTTGGGACTATGTCTCCAAAACCACCACCACCACTTACCAGGGTGGTCAGTAGTCAATCTGAGTGGAGGATTATGAGAGAGGTACTCCCCAAAAAGCAATATTTCCAAGATCTTTTCGAAGTCTGTCATGTAAATATAGAAGGAAGTGGCTATGATATCTGTACAGACCCTTCTTGAACTTGTCAGCTACAGAAAGTGTACAAACATCCATGACAATCTAACCGCTGTTCACAAAGACAGGACAGGAAGCACAAACGTCGAGAGGAGATGAGCATAAACGAAACAGTGGTCCAACCTCTCCTATTTTTGTTGCTAACACAGCCTTTGAGAACTGCACCAGGATGAAAAAAAAAAACAGGTGGGTGGGTGGATTGAGAAATAATTTTCTGTGCTCTGTGAGAAGTCCAGTTGGTATTTCCAGCCACTTGCATTTATGAGGAAATGGTTGTTAATAATACTGATTACATAATTTAACAATTGGTAATTATTGCCAACTAATATTCTGCTTTAATGACTAGTATTATTCGTTGTAATGAACTTAAAATGGTATGTTACTATCATTGAATTGGACATTGTATCATCTTTTGAGATTATATTATTATAATGACACATAACTGAGCTGTGAAAAGTATATTTGAAGGTTGCTTTTTCATACAATGTGCCTTTCACAGCACAATTGCATAGAAAAGCAGCTTACAAATGATGGTGGTGGTGGTAATGATGATATGATGATGATGACAGTGATGACAGCTACTACCAGGGCCCTTCCAGATAATAGTTTACAAATCCTGCTACCCCAAGTTGTCATACTGTAGATAACGATGCTGCCTATGATGGTGATTTCAGCGAAGCACATGGAGAAAATATCCATTTACTGAAGGCTGATTTAAAGCATGCAAAAAACACTGTCTAAATATGTTTAGGGATAGCACCAGGCAGGTAAACATGAGAACAGGAGAGGTTCTTTGCCACTACATACACTTAGTCTCACCTAAAAAACTAAGACGCAAAGGAGTCTGGGCAGGAAATTTGTGCTAGGATAGGGAGAGAGATGTATGTCAACGGGATCAAAAGGCTCAGAAAAACTGAGAAATAGAGAAACTGAACAGGAAAACTTCATGGCAGTTGTGGCATACCCACCTGGATTAAACTCTGCTGGCTTATCCCATTCTTTTTCATCATGGTGAATAGACCACAGGTTGATGACAACATGGGTTCCCTTTGGGATATCATATTCCCCAATGCTGCAGAAAGACAAAACACATCAGTGCTTTTGCTCTTTCTAAGGGCCTTCAGCTTTGCAGCAGATTTAATTGTTTCAGATGGGCCTCACCTTGTATCTTCTAATGCCTCATGTGGGATCAAGAGTGGAGCGACAGGCCGGATACGCAGAACTTCACTAATGGTAGCCTCCAAGTAAGACAATCGCTGCCGATCACTGAGTAGGGGATGTCTGTCCAAGCCAATTTTCTGATCTATTTCTTCTTGGATCTTTTCCTGCACCTGGAGAGGGGGGTGGAGTAAAAAGAGTCAACAGATTCAAATGGGCCAACTCTGTGAATTACCTTAGCATAGTAAATTGCAGTTAGAGTGGGCCCATTTGAATTGGGGAATGATGGAGGAGCTGACTCACTAAATCCCAATCAATTCAATGGGCCTGTACTCTAGTAGGATTTATTAAACTAAGTACTGTAACAGGATTTGGGCCTAAATGTTCTTGTTGACCTTGTAGTTGGCCACAGAAAGGAATGCATGGGAGTCTTTGTTTGTTTGTTTTTCTTCCCTCTTTGCACTGCCCAGGAATACAAGGAATATTATATATATGAAAGAGGATACATACGATAGCTATAGAACACTGGAACCCACCACCCCAATTGGGTATCCCACTGGTTGGGGCAACCGGAGTCCCGGCTTCCCTATCCCACCTCCTTTGGGCACTGCCTCTGAGTGGGTGCCTGCTGGATGAGGAGGGGGCTAAGAAGTGCCAAACATCTGTTAGGGGGATAAATGAACTGGTACAAACCACCAAACCGGTGGTTCATGCCCATCTTTATTCAGGATAAGGTAAAGGTAAAGGCTCCCCTTGACATTTAGTCCAATCGTGTCCGACTCTAGGGCATGGTGCTCATCTCCGTCTCCAAGCCGTAGAGCCAGCATTTGTCCGTAGACAGTTTCCATGGTCATGTGGCCAGCGCGACTAGACACGGAACGCCGTTACCTTCCCACCAAGGCGGTATCTATTTATCTACTTGCATTTACGTGCTTTCGAACTGCTAGGTTGACAGGAGTTGGGACAAGTGACGGGAGCTCACTCTGTTGCATGGATTCGCTCTTATGACTGCTGGTCTTCTGACCTTGCAGCACAGAGGCTTCTGCAGTTTAGCCCACAGCACCACCACATCCTATTCGGGATACTTCCTTGCAATTACAACATTGTACTCATGGCCCTAGAAACAAGTTAAGAACTGTTTTAGGGAGGAAAAGTGGTATCTGTATTTCTTTGCCTCATCTATTCATAACCCACTGTCAAGTGTATCTTTTACCAAGAACCTAAGCAGACTTGAAGGTGCTGGTACCTCTGGGTAGTACAGAAGATAGAGCACAGCCCACTTCAGCACAGTAGTGGTGGTTTCCACACCTGCCCCAAAAACGTCAGCCACAGTCATGAGTAGGTAGTCATCGGTTAGCTCCTGTCCAGAAAATATTCCATTGTTGTTGTTCTCTGTATTCAGTTTGGCTCTCAGGAGAGCATCCATGAGGTCATTGACAGACTCACTGTTGAATTCTTTCTGGGAAGAGGATGAAAGCAGCAGAGGGCTATGATTGAGGGATATCGGAATGATTACCAAGTAAACTTAGCTGATACAGTAATGCAGCGGCTAGATAGAAGAGCATTTCAGATCCTGGCAAAATATTATTTTGCCATTATGTGGGGCATAAAGGAAGTCAAAGCCAGCAGGATAGGATTCAATGAGATGCAGTCTTCCTTCCCTATTCCATACTAGTTAGTATCCCTGCAGCACAAACTGGGCAGGTTATTCTTAAGGACTACAAGCCTAATGTACAAAGTTCACCTAAGCAGTGAGGCCACATTTCATTTACAGGTAATTATAATTGTAATTAAAACACTGTTACAATTATATCACAAAGGGAGAGAAGCCATCCTTTTTATCATATTACAATTCTAATTAAATTTGGTTATAGATAACAGTAAATTGCAAGTACTGTAAAGTGTTATTTCTAACAAATCACTTCTAAGTTCTTCTCCAAGGTGTTGCTGCCCTACATGCCACATCTCTTGAGTGTAGATATTTACCTTATGTTTTTCAAACTTCTGATGTAGGAGCTGGTCTCTCATTTCCACACATTTCTTCAGCAAAGCTAATTCTTTATTAGGAAGGTACTGTTTAAAAACAACAACAACCATAATGACAATTTCTACCTTGAATGGGGATCAGAATTCATGCCCTAGAATCTTTGTGCTTGTTTTTTCTGCCACTGACAATTACCTGCTTATTCTTTTTTTTAAAAAGGAGATACTTCCATCTGATTAGATGTTTCTCAAATTCTGCACCTGTAAAGCTTTATAGATCTCTTTGATCTTCCTCACACTCTCTGTCAAAATGTATATACACTAGCACATATAAGCACAATAAATATATAGCAATGAAACATATAACTATGGATTTAGTCCATTTGAACAGCATACAAAATTCAAGGCAATGCTTTTATTGAGCATGGAAATCTAGACCATCTCAAACAGAAGATGCTATTGCAGGTTGTTTCAGAATGTGGCTGATTTAAGAGACAACCTGTTCCTTCCTCTATGCCTCTTAATGAAGAATAGGAAAGTGAGAGGCAATATAGTATAACTCATTAAAAGCATGTCAGTTGAAACAATGACGTTCTAATAGATCAAAGGAAGAAAAAATATTGTTTTAAGTTATTTGTGGGCTTTGGTAATAATCTTCTCCTGAAGCTGGCTTCTTTCCATCTCTTTGAGAAACGGTATTTCAATTTATTTATTTTATATATTTTTAAATTTTATTTTATGATCTTTCATTGCACATTCTTCCCATGGCTGCCTTGTGGACAAAACAAGGAAGATGTCTCATCCTAATGGATGTACCTGCTCAGCTCAGTCACAAGACACCCGAGGTCCTCCTACCAGCTCTCACCTTAAGCCATGGAAAGATATCCACCATGCTTTGCTTGGCCACAGTGTCCACAATGCCTTGGCTGTATTTGAGCAGAGATTCAAATTCTAGATCTCCACGCTGGTAAGTGGAATTGAAGCAAAGGGAACACACCACATTAGTAACTGCACGCATAAGTTCTGGTGCCATGTCCAAAGGTGAATCCTGCATAGAACGGAGAGTTTCACATAAGGAAGCAGCCTCGTGGCAGACTGAAAAGGGCAAAAGAAAAGATACATGGTGAATTTTTTTATACAGTACTTCTCTCTCTCTCTCTCTCTCTCTCTCTCTCTCTCTCTCTCTCTCTCTCTCTGTGTGTGTGTGTGTGTGTGTGTGTGTACAGGAGAGGTATGAACCAAGATATGAACCACCTTTCCTGCAGGTTTAGTGTTTGAGCTTAGGCAGATCTATATCATTACTAATTCCCTCACAATAAAGGGCAATAATTCTAAAAATGGCAGTGTCAGAGCAATATTTAATATCAACAGGAGTAATACCAGCACCGTTTTCTATGGAAAATCCTTTTGTACAAGTTAGTAAACACAGATCATTTAAGTATTGCAAAGAAAAAAATGACAGAATCATTTAAAAAGCAAGTACGGTATACCATATGTACATTTTTTTCTCATTTAGTTTTCAAATATGGGAAATCTGAATAACAGTTTCTAGATTGTAGGTTAATTATCTTTTCCTTCTCAGTTGATCAGATGGAGAAAAAATGGACACACTTTAAAGGATGAGAATTTAATGCATCTGTATCAAACATGCAATAAATGTGTGTATAAATGGAACGTATGTGGTTTTATGTGTACAATCACACATCAATATGGGCATGGAAATCATGTTGTGATGAACAGGAAAACTGAGTGCAATCCAGTGCACATTTAGCTGTGAATAAGTTCCACCGAACACATCAGGATTTATTTCTGAGTAAACATATCCAGGGTAACAGTGTCAGTACTGTCATTTTTTAAGTGGAAAAAGTTATTAACCCACTATCTGATGATTTTCTTGCCTGGTTTACACTTCTGCTTCTTTCCAGTATGTTATTGTTTGATAACTTCAACTTCTTAAAGGTAAGGTGAGAGACCGAGAGATGTGTGTACAAAACATGTATGCATTTATTGTGTGTGTGTGTGTGTGTGTGTGTGTTTCTTTTACATTCTGAACAATCACATATTTATTTGAAATATCCATTTCATTAGTATATAATTGTGGGCCCAGTCTCAAAGTTATGAAAATAAATATTCATTTTGCAAAATGAAATTGTGCTTCACATCCTGTTCTGTGGTTTTTCACTATGTTGTAGCTAATTATGTAGTTCTGTGGTATATCGTGCTCAGCCACATTTTCCCATGATTGGATGGTCACAGTTCATTTGTTGTCTCATCAGTACAATGCAGAAATGGATATCACATTGTACAAAAATGTGTCCAGCTCAGCCTTGCCTGAGCTACTCTTAGATTACACATTAATTTTTCAGCCAGTGCAATGTCTCAGATATGTTTAAGACCATTGCCTGCTGATAGCGTCTTGAGATTTTTCCTCATTTTTTATTATTATACCTAGATGTGTAGGTAATGATAATTATTCATCTAAGGTTTTGTGCAGTGGTTGCTAATGTGCCTGCATGAATACAAATAATACAAACAGCAATTTTTTAAAAAATGACAAAAGAAATTTTAAAAAAGTTAATTTTCCAATAGTACTATTAATCACTCTTCAAATGTATTCAGCCTCCAAACTCCTACTGTGTATGAATAATGCAGCCTTAGGAATTGTGTCCCCTTCAGTATTTGAGAGAAATTTTGTGTGCATTTAGATAATATCTGTGAAATTATTTTAAGATATCTTCTCTCAGTTGTGATGACATAGATCTATATAGCCAGGGGTGCATTTTCTCCCAATCATCTTGTGGGATTATAACAGAAAAATCTAATTGACAGCTTTAGTAAATGTATTTTCAGGATATAATTAGTTCTTGTGTATTTATCTGATCAGAAAATAGTATGGTCACATGAATTTACAGAGTTTTGGGCCCTAGAGCCTCTCCTTTGTAAAACAAAATACACAATCACAAATGAGCAATACGTGTTGCTGTTTTTTTTAAGATCAGTTTGTGCATCTGAAAGAAATCTTTCTTTCAAGCTTTATAAAAATTCTTCATCAGAATGGATGCTAAATAACTGGGTGGATGTGAAGCACAGGAGTCCAGATGTACAGCCATGTGTTTCCAGCTAGGAAGAACTGCACTCAAACCAAGTCCTAGATTGAAAAACAGGGCTTCGTAAATCAGAAACTTGTGATTATTACATGATCTCTGGCAAAGGCATTCTGCAAACACAGTCAATGCCAACATGCTTCTGCGTGGGCAAAGCAAGCAGTCTCCTTTGTAGGAGTTAGCATACGCTTTAGCAGCATGTAGAATGCACATACTATCAGTGGCCAGTCAGTGGCAGTGGAGGACAAAATAAGACAATGCTGACCAAATAAATAAATAAATAAAATAAAAGAAGCCATAGGATCCTTATACACAATCGAAAGGTAAGGGTGGGTTATATCTTTATTAGACCGCTACGGTAATAAGCTTTTGATCCATACAGATCTTCATCAGGCTGGGCACTACAGATCAGTGCATGCCTGCAATTTACTATAGTTCTACTTAGTCTTCTTTTCCCCTTTTCAAAATTAGATATATTTTAGCTTCACTTCCACATAGCCATGGGAAAAAAGCTTGTGTCTGAGCTAATAAGCCATGTATAAACATATAAATGTGCCCCATTTCAAGTAGTGCATCTTAACCACAAAAGGATCAAGCGCTTATATAAAACCTCAATGTTTGTTTAAACAAATTTGTTTTTAGATCCTAACTCTCTGAGTCCCTCCTGCTTTGCCTCTTACGCTAATCAATTTTCTTATGCTATTCCCTTCATGAGTGCCTTCCCACAGAGTAACATTGATTTTTCTTCTTTTCTGCTGTCTTAAACCTCCTACTTAGTTTCACATACAATAATATCCTCCCTGGCTACAATGGCTTTTTCCTCTTGGGTGATCCCAAAGACTGTTTGCCATGAATTTGAGGTCACAAGCACATGCCCAGAGGGGATATTGTCTAACACATTATGGCTGCTGCCCTTGGAACAGTTTCATTTTTTTCCCTGTTGCTTTTTCAGACTTTTCTACCAATAGCCCCTAGCATTACAGGATAAACATTATAGCAGTGGACCTCAGTAGTCTCATGATGGGAAGAAACAGAAAATAAAGGAAATACTTACAAGCCAATCTGTCAGCTACCCCTAATGTTGCAGCCATGCATTAATCCATGACAGAAGTTATTAAAAGTGTGGGACCTTGAAATAAGATGAAGATGCATGCCTTTTCCCAAGTACAGCTGTTGCCTCAGAACAGACACATGTGTACAATCAAAGGTTGCAGACAGTTCTATCATTGAGAAATTTATGTGGGCAAAGAGGACTGCATTCTTCAGGAGTATGAGATGATGCTGTACCAATAATTGAGATACATGCAACAGTAAGACTGAGTACATATATACAGTACTTTAAAACAGGAGTGGATGCACACGCATACTCCTTTAAAATGCAAGTTGAGTTTTGCTTCCTTGCACCTTCACTTGTCAATGGACACGTGAATCTGGCTCCAAACTGAATTTGTTATCTGGCTCTCCATTTTTTTCAGTGGGAAGTCTATACAGGTGTTATTTCATTTTTTAAAAAGAAGTAGCCATGTTAGGCTGCAGCTAGACAGCCCACTTATCTTAGAATGGATAGCTCTAGATCATGCTAAACAGGGTTATTTTGAGATGTAGCATGTCATTTGGGGTAATCCTTGCATCCACATGCAAGGATTGGCCACACTTCATCTCAAGCGATCCTGTTTAGCACAATCTAGATCAATCTTCCTTCCCTTTAAAGGGAAAGAAAGCAAAAGCAAAACAACAACAACAGACAAAAACTCTCCTGTCTCTTCCTCAGTTCTTCACCCAAGTTGTTTAACAATCTCGACAAATGGAAAACTTCCTTTCACTTACCTGTGGAAAGGAAGAGAGATAAACCATTCTGTTTCTTTTTAATTATTGCTAACCAATAGCGCATCAGCAATGCTTTCACAGGGCTTTTTTTTTAAAGCCCTTTTGAAGTATCGTTCGCAACAAACACAAAAAATTTAAAAATTTCCTCTCCCTCTGCAGCCAAGCAGGAAGGAATCTTCCCACTTTTCAAGATCATTAAATGGCATCAGCAAAGGGGCAATTTAAGCCACTCATTTGGGTTCAATCCCAGCCATCATACGTGCGGGAACGTAACTAAAATTGAGTGATCTTACCTGCACCAAAACAAACAAAAAACAATAGTAGCTCCTGACAGGGGCTCATAAAGGTGTGGGTAGGCATTGATTGGGGCAGGCTGGTCCGCAATGGCATGTACATTATGTGGTTGCCAGTAAAAGGAGCAAAAAGGTCTATCACTAACCTGGACCAAAATGCAGGACAAATGCCCATCTGACTGTACCCTTAGTCTACTTCACCATGTATAACGAAGAAGGAGAACATGAAACAAAAAGCAAACGTTTTGAACCACCTTTGAGGCTAATAGATTTTTTTCATTGTGAATCTTTTAGATTACAGCCCGCTTCCTTTTGTTTTTCATGTTTATCTGCTCAAACATTTATTAGATTCTCTCTCTCTCTCTCTCTCTCTCTCTTTCTCTCTCTCTAAGTTTTAAAAGGCCCTATCAGCACTTTTTTTGATGCTTGAAAAATTGTTCTTTCAGAGGACAGACTGTGTGACTGCTGCCACTGCTGTCCAACCAGTTCTGTGCACCACTGAGAAGGTGAGACACGTATTTATCAATAACACATGTTTTCCAGGTAGTGCCATTCAAAGCCCGGTTGCAAACTGGAAAAGCAGGTTTTTTTCTGTGCTCAATCTAATGAGGAAAAGACCTGGTGACCATGGTAAAGTAGTATGAACTTATATGCAGAGCCCTGAAAACAAGAAAGAAAAACTGCTTTCAAAGCATGTCTAGCACACTTTAAACACTATGTCTGTCTTCTTCCAAAAAGAAAGAGGTCAACTGCTGCTACGATCTTCTTTTAGCATGCCCTTCAGGTTACCCCAACATTCCTACAGGATCACTTACTGATTTTCTGTAGGGCTAGAGAGCCTTCTCCAAACATGCAAAGAGCAGAGTGCACCAGCTTACGCTGATATTTCCAAAGTGGGCTGTAGGAAGCAAAGGCAATATCTTTCCCATCTCGAGTCAACAAGTCTGTCGTCACCTTGAATCAAAGGACAAGAAATGGGGGAGAAGTTTAGGAACATTTTATTCTCTTCATAGAATACTTAGTGATGGATTTAGCCAGTTTATCACGTGGTTTTAGTAAGCTTTGAAAGACAGAAAACAGGCACAGAAACTGCTTCCACAGTATTCAAACCACTGCATTTCATTATGCCACACTTCAAGCTATTTCACAGTCTTGCTGAAAATCTGTTATCTCCTAATCTATTTATATGTAATTTGTAACTTTCCCTCCCTTTTATATGTTCACGATTGATTAAGTCAGCAAATAGGATAGAGTGCTTTTGTTAGCTTTTCTGAGAACGGGTAACATATTGAGTCTAACCAATATAAGACATTTTGACTACTCTCCATGTTAAATCAGCCTGGGTAGTGAGGACACTTCCATGAATCCCAGTAGCATGGAGCATAGATGTGTGCAATGCAGTTCTTTCTCGTGGAATAAACTGTGCTTCTTAGAATTTGTGTTTTATTAAAGAGAATGCAGGTCTTTTCATTTCAAATGGTGAAGAAAGGTAAAAAGAAGCAAGATGAGTGAATAATATTAGCAACTCTGTTTCTAGACTGCAAAGGGAGAAGGAACCCTGCTAGGTGGCATTTCACTTAAGAAGTAAAATATATGAAGAGGATATGTGTGCTTTTAGGCAAGGCTTTCGTTGTGCAATCACCCAGGCTCAAATATGGAATTGTACAAGTGGTCTAGATTATATCTTCTTTCATTTTCAACCATCTCATGTTTTCCCATTGTTTTTTCACAGACACAAATCTGTTTAGGAAGGAAATAAGGAATACTAGCTGCATAATCCCTTTTTAGTCTTAGCACTAGGAGCTGTGTCTGTGGAAGCATCTTATGGCTCTTCTCTTGCTCTGGAATTTAAGCTTGTAGGTCTGTCAGAAACCATTATGAAGAAGCTATATTATGTCAGTTTCTCTCTAGCTAGATAGTGATGATGGAAGTAATATCAGAGGAAGCAGGAAGAAACAGGTAAGCCTAATCATAACTATCTGCTCGGAGATCTATAGATTACAAGAGATGGGAAACACTACGGAGACAATGGAACTATGTGTCCATCATCTCCTTCCTAGTAGTTCAGATCAATTTATGCTTTACTTATGTGTGGATAACAGCTGGCAACAATATGCATGTGCTTTTCTTACCCATATATGATATCTGTATGAAAAACCTCTTATGTGAAGTCAGGCAAATAGTTGCATTCACCAGTGTGGCTCATGTGGCATGTGATAAATTACAGAGAATGGAAAACAAAGCACCATACTATTGGCCAAAATCATGGAATCATAGAATAATGGTGTGGGAAGGGATATATAAGATCATCAGACCCAACCCCCTAATCAGTGGAGGAATCCAAATCAAAGTATATCTGACAATATATCTGGTTGTCTAATTTTCTCTTGAATGCCTCCTATTACTTATCTTAGTACATTGCATTACAGTAGGTGTATTGAATCAATGGAGATTTGACAAGTCAACTCCTCTGGATGGTCCATTAAATAAAAAGGACCTGCTTTAACTGTGACTTAACTTTAGCATAGTAAGTAGGTACATCTGAATCAAAAGAATTATGGAGGGGTTGACTCACTACATCCCCATTGATTCAATGGACCTACTCTACTACAATTTACTACACTAAGCAACAAGATTTAGGTTATTAATGGCTTCTCTCATATTTCAGTGCAGTTATCACATCCCTTCTAAAATTAATTTATTGAAAAAGCATATGGCCACACTATAAATATTTTTACAAAAGAATGTTATTAATTTCCATGGTTATATAATCCTTGGTATCACATGCCAGTATCTTTAATTCTGGCCACCAGGAAATAGATGTTCTCTGGGATTATTAGATGGTTGAGGTAAAGTGTAAATATTTGGCCTCCAGATGTGGTATAAAGTATAAATATTTGGCCTCCAGATGTGGTGAATATTTGCTCTCCAGATGTTTTGGGCTACAACTCTCACAACACATTGGGAACCTATTAGCATTCTTTGTGGAGCTGATGGGAATCTTTGTAGACCAAAACATTAAAGTTAAATGCAAGACTGATTAGTCTTTGGATGAGAGACCACCAGAGATCTCCAACTACAGCTAAGGAAAGAATCCTAACTGAAAATTTGGAGATCTTCTGCCACAGTTAAAGCAGGCAATACTAGGTTAGATGGAACAATGCTCTTGCTCAGTGTAAAGCAAGTTCCTATGTTCCATAATATGAATTAGTAAATTAGTAAATAAACTCCCTTCATCCAAAAAGATAATGAACAGTACACTTCTCCCTAATAAAACAATAAAAAGAAAACTAAGACACACAAACCTATTTTATAATACAGTGGGCTCAAAATAAGTTATCATTAGGACCCAGAAGCACAGGAAGAGAGAAGTCTGCTGCCCTGCTTGTTATGACATTGAGTTAAATTTTTCTGCCCCAGATGTACAGTCATCACATCCTCACACATAATAACATCATTTTTGTACCCTTATTTCTTCTAGTCTAATCACTAAATTTGATAAGCTATATCTGGGGTGAGGAATAGTGTGGTCCTCCACATACGGTTAGAGTCTTTCATCACTGAATCTTGGCTTGGCTTCTAGAAGTTGTGGTTCTACATCTGTAGAACCACAATTTCTACTCTATTGCCATAAATCAAATAAATATTAGTCATTGTTTGCCTACCGTCCGAGGCCTTCCAGCAAAGATCTTCCCTTTTTTAAGCAGTACTTCCCTGGCATGCTGATAGTTGTTGACGACCACCACATAATCTGAGCCCATGTAGAGAGAATAGATGCTGCCATATTTCTTCTGTAGTTTGCAGAATAAGAGATGGAGGTTGTTATTTCCAGCAAAATGCAACAGGCTCCCAATGATTGGCAAGGAGGGCAAGCTTTTAGGGTAGTTGCGCTTGGACTTCTGCTTCTCCTTAGCCACCTTCCAAAAGGACAGGAGAGCCAGCAACAGGAGCAAAACAACCAAGAGAACCATAATTGTCCCTTGGTTGCCCTAAGCCTTGGTCTGAGATCCAGAAACAAGGGGTCAGGGAAAGCAGTCTCCCTGCAATAGCCCCCCTGTTCAGACTCTTATAAGGGCTTTAAGTGACATCATCTTGCCTTGGCTTTCTTTCTTGTCTTGCTGGTTAATCATTCAGAGATAACTGCAATCTGGAGCAGAAAGTCAGCCTTGCTTTCTGCCAAAAAGGGGGGGGGGAAGGCAACAAGAAACTACAGCACACTTCAGAAGGTCTGAGCCAAATAGACAAAGATGCACACTCCACATGGGAAGTCCAGCATTAAAGACTGCAGTTTAAAGATAATGGTGATAGTGGTGATGATGATAACAAGGACAGCCTTTGAACAGCTGGAAGAAACCCTATGGATTATCAAGTCCAGTTTCTCACAATGAGGCACAGAGGGGAATTGAACTCCCACCCTCTGGCTCCATAGCCAGAGGCCTAAGTCACTGAACTATTATGGTCTACTTTTAACAATCATGGCTTTTAGCACTCATGACTGAGACCCTGAATGCTCTTAGTTAAGATAGTTTTTTTTATAATTTTATGAATTTTTAATTAGTCAGTGTACTTTAATCAGTTTTGTAGTTTAGTTGTATTTTTTTAATGTATAACCTATGTTTTAAATTCTATTATTTTTAATACTGTAAGCTGCTTTGAGTCCCCTTATCAGGAGAAAAGTGGCCTCTAAATAAGACTAATAAAATTAAATAATAAATACTGTGTTGCACTATACAGCAAAATACGGGGAGGGGAGAATTCTGGTTCTTCCAAGATGCTGTCCTTGTTCCACCGGGGGTGGGGGGATCCTCTTTTCTCTTACACAGTTTTAGTGCCATACTCTTCTCTGTTCCATCAGGCTACAGTAGAAGTGAAGAAAAGCAAGACATGGAAACGTTCCTATTTTGACTACAATTCCTCAAATCTCCCAAGCATCATGGCTACATACTAGTTGAGGGATTCTAGGAGTTTTAGTCAAAAATGTAAGATCCTGGAGATGAGAAGAAGGGAAGCTTCTGACAATTTCACTGGGGTCCTTGGTGGCTCTTGGGAGCAGCAGCATTGTCACCACCAACGTGACAGGATGGTAGCAGAAAGGTCCTTTCCTGGGTGGTGAGGGCCCCTTTTCACTCACTTCTTTCATTCACCAGATGGAAGCAGCAAAGGCAACTTCCTACATAGAGATGGCTCCACTCACTTGAATTTCCCACGCCAGGGCGGAGGCAGCTCCACTTGCTTCTATCCAATTTCATTTCCCTTACCCAGTAGACTTTCCTATAAAGAAGGCATGGGGAGTAGCAAAAGAATGATAGCTTGCATACACTTACCACCTGTGCCTATCATGTTAATTCTCCCACAATGCCTCTGAGGTCTAGTATTGTGAGGTAATTTCTATTATTGGTATACACCAAGGAATTTCCTCCAAGGTGCTCAGGATATTACACATGTTTTTTTGCCCTGTCCCCTAATATTATACGTACTCATAACAGCCCCATGTGGTAGGTTAGGTTGGAAACTTGGCTACAAATACTCCTGGGTTTGCTTTGGGTTTAGCATGCTTGAAATTGATTTAAAATGCAGTAACCATTTACACAATGTACAGCTGAACATGCATTTTTTTTTGGCTGGGAAGTGTTTGGTTTTTTTTTTTTAAGTGAGATACAGTATTTTAAACAGCCTTGAAGGGGTTGTTTATTTTAACTCAATTGTGGGTTAGATGGTATTTCAGATTTTCCTGCAACCTGAATCCTGCAGTCCTGGCATCCATTACTTGACAAACCCTACAGACACAATTGACTCCAACACAGGTTGTGTTTGTGGCAGACACAATTTATTCCAAACACATACTAAATCAGTTCAAAACATATGAAGTTAATAAGGAGACAGCTAAATAGGTGGAGGAGAGATCCGCTGAAGGATAATTTGGCTGCGGTAAAGATCCTGACCAGGTGATAGGCCACTGCCTTAAAATCAGCAAAAAGGGAGTTCAGTATTAAAATCATTAGTGAGGCTGTGAACCAGCATATGAAGCTTTCCCAGGTGGTTGACAACTGTGCTAATCGTGGTCAGCAAAGGTCTCGTCCTGGTGATTTCACCAGTAATTAATTTGCAGCCTTCTTTAAATCTAAAATTGAAGCAATCTAGCAAGATATGGACTTGTGAACAGTCTGGTTGATCAGGTTGAGATCCCTGATGCATTATCACCCTCTGTCCATTTGGTTCAGTTTCAACCTGTATTACCAGACGTGTCCAGGGCGCTGGTATGCTGTAAGCCTGCCACCTCGGTGCTCAACCCGTGCCCATCATGGCTTTCAAAAGTGCCCAACAAGTATGGCATTCAGGTTAGTCTTACTGGGCCGTTAATATTGTTAATGCTTCCCTAAGAGAGGATTATCCCTCCCCCCTCCCGCTTTGTGAAGGAAACAGTTATACAGCCCATTCTGAAGCAGTCAAATTTGGCAATCGACAACCTACATAATTAGTCTGTTGCCAATATGGGCAAGGTTATCAAGTGGGTGGTAGTGGAACAGCTCTAGACATACCTGGAGGAGGAGAACTGCCTTGACCCATTCTAATCCAGGTTCAGGCTGAAGCATGGTACCAAGACAGTACTGGTCGTACTACAAGATGTCCTCTTAAGGGATGCTGATGGGGGAAGAAGGATCCCATTAGTGCTCCTGGATCTCTCAGCAGCTTTTGGTATTGTTGACCACGGTATCCTCCTGGACAGACCGTTAGGTGTGGGGATTGTGAGGCTGGCACTCAGTTGCCTCTGATCCTTCCTTGATGGTCATATCCAGAGACTGTAGCTTGGGGAGGAACTGTTGGCCCCTTGGACTCTAAATTATGGGGGGTTTTATGGGTTGTCAATCTCCCTCATTCTGTTCAACATCCATGTGAGACTGCTGGGAGAGGTCATCCAGAGATTTGGAGTGTGTTGCTATCAGTATGCTGATGGCACACAGTTCTATCTCTCCTTCTCTTACAGTTGATGCTGTCTGGCAGCTTGAGCACGCCTAGCCTCAGTTCTGGAATGGATCAAGGCTAACAGACTGAACCTGAACTGGGACAAGATGGAGTTCTTCCTTCTAGGTGGCCCTTCTGACAGGTTGGGGGACTGTCTCCCTAAGTTGGACGGAGTAATCCTTCCTCTTAGGGGTTGAGTTCAGAATCTGGGCATGTTCCTGGACCTGGCTCTCTCATAGGATTACCAGATTGCAACCATATCCAGGTTGGCCTTCAAACAATTGAACCTGATCACTCAGCTCCGGCCCTTCCTGAATGAGGGGGCCCCGAGGACACTGATGCATATGCTGGTGATCTCCAGGATCAACTGCTGTAATGCTCTGTACATGGAGCTTCCCTTGGGACTGGTCAGGAAGCCAGAGCAGGTTCAGAATGTGGCCACCAGGCGGGTACTAAGTGTGAGCAAATTTGATCACATTTCCCCAGTCTTGGCTCAGCTGCTGTCTGTGAGGTTCTAGGTCGGCTTCAAGGTTTTTGTTCTTGCCTAGAAAGCCTTCCATACTTTGGATCCTTGTTACTTGTCAGCACCTTTCCCCAAGAACATTGATCTGCACCATCAGATCTTCGCAGGCAGTGGTCCTATAGGTTGCTATGCCAAGAGAAGCCAGAAAGACTTCCACCAGAAATTGTTCCTTTGCAGCGGTGGCACCAGTCCTTTGGAGTGGGCTCCTGACAGAGCTGTGCCTGGCACTCTCCCTCTCTACCTTCAAGAGGCTTCTTAAAATTTGTGCTTTTAAAATAAGCTTTTAGTGGCATTATTTAATGCAGCCATTCTCAGTGGGGACGATATGCCCCCCCTGGGGCCCCGGCATATTTGAAAGGAGCCGCAGACTGGAAACAATTCTTCATACACCACCTTATAAGGCTTATTATGCAGCAAACATAATAAGTGGGAGAATCGTTTTAAAAGTCTATAATATGGTTCATTTAAATGAATACTGCTTTCTGACTGCTTGTTATAAATTGGTTTTAAAGAGCATCTTTAGGCATTTTGAATGGAATTCCCCCTTTTTATTACATTCTTTTATAAATCCTTGGGTATTTTATTTAAATAATAGGAAAGTAATGAAAAAGAACAGAGCAGCAAAATAAATTATGTAGAGTTATTCCCATCTCTTGACAACATTATTTGTAACAAATCACTATGGGGAGTGGGTCTTGCAATGAGAGACATAATGTTACATTTTAAAAAGTAAAATTCTAAGGATTGGTTTTGGGAATAGAAACTTCTTATCCAGTTCCACAGGACCTTGATCCTGTCAAAAGTCCAAAGATTACTTGATGTGTTGCTTCTGTTGCAATCATAGACATTTTTCTCCATTTGCAGTAGGATCAAGATTTCTCCAGGGTGTGAATTTCGTTGTATGGTATACTGTGTATATACTTACAATGACAATAAATTATATATTATTACTCTGGGTCCAATTCAAACACAGCAAGTTCTAGCAGACAAACTTTTCATGTCCCTTTTAAGCGCTCAGTGATCCACTGTCAACATTTGGTTGCATAATTATAGGGGCCTTGCATATGAACAAGTCACTGATGCTGCTTTAGACTTTAGAGACCTAACTTATTTTGGAATATGTTTTCAGAAGGACTGCCTATAGACATATACACGCATGGCTGAGGTCCATCTTACAGGTCTCTTTTGCTGGCCTGCTAAGGTGATGAATACTAAGGAGCGGTTTTCCTCAGGCGTGGTCCAATTTATTCAAGTCTGCCTTTGCTTTAATTTTCTCTGCTTTGTATTCTCGAAGGCTTTCACGGCTGGGATCTGATGGTTGTTGTGGGTTTTTCGGGCTCTTCGGCCATGTTCTGAAGGTTGGACAGGAGTCAGAGCATAGACAGAGTTCTGTCCTCTGAAGATGCCGGCCACAGAGACTGGCGAAAGGTTAGGAAGAACAACCTTCAGAACACGGCCAAACAGCCCAGAAAACCCACAACAACCAACTTTCTCTGTTTTGCTGCAAGTCTTCCAGCCACATGAGGTGGGACATATGTTGGCTGTATTGCAAGCTTGTGTGCAGTAGTTCTAAAGAGGGAAAGCTTAAACTAGAGGTACTGATTCAGGTACTCTGTGACATGTAAGACTTTTCTGCCTCCCTCCTCTTTTTCCACTCTCTCCCTCTTTTGGAACCAATAGGGGGCTACCCATGGGAGATCCTGGAGTTTATTCCTTTTGCAAAGATGCTCCCCACCCCAAAAGTTAACTTCTTGAACTTAAGTTGAACCTACGCACACTTCTATGTATGTAAGCTGTTTCATGGGAAAATGGAGTTGTAAGGGGCCTATAAGGCCATTTCAATGCATCCAAACCAAAGTATATATGACAGATGTCTAATTTTCTCCTGAATGCATCCAGTATTGGAGTGCTTGCCACTTCCCAAGGTAATTGGTTCCATTTTCATACTGCTCTAACAGTCCCCCCCCCCCCGCTCTTCAACTGAACACTGGCTTCCTGTACCTTCAGTCCATTATTGCATGTCCTATACTGTGGAACAAATGAAAACAGATCCTGCTTCTCTTCTGTATAACTATTTTTCACATATTTGAAAAGTGCTATCATATTTCCTTCTTTTCTCAAGGTTAAACATGCCCAGTTCTTTTAGCCTTTTCTCATAGGAACATTTGTAACAACAACAACAGCAACAACTTTTAAACTTTAAATCTTGCTTTCGATTTTAAGGGCCCCCTTCCTCCCTTTTGCTTCAACTAAATCAGTGGTTCTTAACCTTTGTTACTCAGATGCTTTTGAACTGCAACTCCCAGAAACCCCAGTCAGGACAGCTGGTGGTGAAGGCTTCTGGGAGTTGCAGTCCAAAACTCCTGAGTAACCCAAGGTTAAGAACCAGTGAACTAAATGATACTGGCTTTTATCAGCCAAGTGGGGAGCTGCTATGTATGGGTGCTTCCAAATAACTCTGTTAGTTTGACCCCAAACCCACATCTTCAGTGATGTGAAGTGTCATTTCCTTACCTTGTGGCAGCACAAGCAAATCCAGTGAACTGCTTTGTACTTTGTGTCCTGTGTTAAGAGAGGGAGGCACCCATGGCCCCTGACCACAGGAAGAGAAGGCAGCACCTCTGCAAATGTTCCATTCATGGGACAATGGGTGAGGGGGGGGAGAGAAGGAAGTGAGAGGGGAAGAGTTGGTTACAGCAAGGATGATGCCATGCATGTGCACCGCCTAAGGGAGCAGAGATGGTGCTGCTAGCCAAATGGTGCCCAAACTCTCCTAGCCACTGAGATCTAGATAGAACTGTTGATTTCTTGAACACATGGCTCTGAGGCATCCTTGGAGCAAAAAGCATTAAAGCATTTAGAGTTAAAGCACTAAAAGACAAGTGACCAAGAAAATTGTTTGTCCTATGGCACACATGATTTTCCAAGCCACTTTTTCCACAGTGTCTTCTTGACTCTGAGAAATAGCCCAGTCTAGAAAGCTGCCTTTTTCAGAGTACTGTATCAGGGATTCTCCTGGGGGCATCTGTGGTCCAGAACATTAATGATGGTGAGTGTCTCATTTGCCTCCCCTGATCTCACTAGGTCTCATGGTAGGAATAGCCCTATTAGCTGCTATAGTTCCTTTTTTAATTCTTGTTTTATTATTATTAAATACTAAAACTGTTCCTTTATTTGTATGTCTTGTAAAAACTGCCTTGTAGAGGCAGAGCCTCTGAAAGATTTCATGAGCTCTCTTCTAAATAACCCTCAAGCAATCCTTTTGTATTTGATATTTCTAGGAGGAAATATGTAAAAATGTGTTTTGTCTCCACAGTCCCACCTAAACTGATAACTTGGAAAAGGGCTCTATTGGGCCACACAATCAAGTGGCACTTTCAAGAATGTTTTCCCCTAGCCTCACCCCGCTAGGACTTAACTAGAACAATTTCATACCTAATCTGTACATTTTACAAAGAGTTCCAAGTTTGGAGCAAATTTGAGCTACCTTGGTTCCCTGGTGGCCTGCCAAAACCTGGTAATAAGACAGGAATTCTATGTTCCTAATTCTCTAGTACTGGCCTTGGGGGTGGGGGTGGGTGGGTTGTTAGGCAAGCAGATCAGAAGCTCCACGTGAGGAGATCTGAAACTCCAGATTCACCATTACCTGCAATAGCACAATGCTTAATACTATACTACTATCCAGAGTTTAATTAAGAAAGACATTTTTTTTCTTTTCCTATATTAGCCTAGGACAATTCAGACCTAGCAGTTATCAGTGTTTTGTTGACTCCACTGTCAAGGCAGATGTAATCAAGGACTTCTGCCAGTTTAGTAATCTCAAAACTGGATAAGGCCATTTTTCTAGAACAGCAGATAGATTGCTTGGGGTCCGTGGACATGTGAGAGATGTAAATAAAAGTCATTATTTATTTGTATCAGAACACAGTACAATTTAAAATTACGGACATGTATGAAATACAGGTTAAATTAAATACAAATTGAAATGTTAAGATAGACTATTTTTGGCCAGGAGCAAGCTACTTTAATAACATTATCTCAGCCATTTGCTAGATCTTCTTTTGTACAAACGGTGGGGCATAGATTTCATGCACCTAAATGCTACATTGATTGAATTTCAACCTATATTGAAACACATAGTTCCTTTTTAGTTGTGAATAGAGGCACACAGAAATGTGGCAAACCCAGTATCAGTTAAGCTTCTCAAGAAGAATTAAAAGTTTGCTTTAATCCAAATTCAGGGTCAAATTGTATAAAACCTATGTATAATTAGTTGTACACAGATAGTACTCTTACTATTTTTATAACTCAGTCACTCGTGTTTCTATAATGCAAGAACAGTTTTGCTTTCGGTATACAGTGTTAATGTGAAGCCTCATTAAAAACAATAATATTGAAAGTCAGTGTAAAATAAGTTCTTGGATGCAATAAAATGTCAAACTAGAGGAAGAGGGATAATTACTTTTTTGTAAATGTTATTAAGAATAATACATTCGTGATACTAACTACTCCCTCTATTTCGTGGGTATATGAGGGCTATTGCTAAATTCTACTCTTCTAGACGAACACGACAAATGGAATTTAAATAAAATTGAACGTTTCGGAGAAACAACCAATTGCTGTCGCAACGATTAAAAAAACCCGCACTCGTCGCCCTTCTGCTCGTTTTGTCCCTTTTCGCTTGCCGTCTTGCGGCGTATCCGAGGCGACGGACCAGCTTGCTTTGAGTAGGTAACTAGTTCTCCTTTGTGTTCGTAAAATGGCAGCAGCTGCAGCAGGGAGCGCTGCTGATGTTCAGGCCCGTTTCGGCCATTCGGTGAAGGGGCTGCTGACCGAGAAGGTGACCAGCTGCGGTACAGATGTTATTGCCCTCACCAAACAGGTGTTGAAGGGCTCCAGGAGCGCCGAGGTAAGCAAAACTACAAGGTCCAGGACGCACTGTCCTAGAACTGTAATTTGGATCTGCCGAAGGAGAAGGCAATGCATTGTGGGATTTGTAGTTTTCGTCCACAATACCGGTAGATCCGCTTCTGATTTCCATGGCTTTATTTCTAAGCGAGAAGAAAGCTTGCATGATTCATAGTCAGTTGCTTTGTCCTTTCCTTTGTTATTTTTCCACTGTAATGAAGGTAACGAAAAGATTTAAAGCATTGATCACAATTCCCTTTTTCCTGTTTTAAATGGATAAGTATGGAAGCCAGATTTTTAAAATGACTAGCAAACCACCCTGTGCTATTGAGCTTTGCCTCTCTTCTTTTTGAAAAGAACAATATTTCACTCTCTTTAAATACATGAATGCTAAAATATTTCCCTCTGATCTGTTCGTGTTGTCAGTTCAGTGAAAAAATATATTCTTGCTTCCAAAAGATTTTGTTGTTGTTTAGTTGTTAAGTCGTGTCCGACTCTTTGTGACCCCATGGACCAGAGCACGACAGGCTCTCCTGTCTTCCACTGCCTCCCAGAGTTGGGTCAAATTCATGTTGGTAACTTCAGTGACACTGTCGAACCATCTCGTCTCCTTCTCCTCTTGCACTCATACTCTCTCAACATCAGGGTCTTTTCCAGGGAATCTTCTCATGAGATGGCCAAAATATTGGAGCCTCAGCTTCAGGATCTGTCCTTCCAGTGAGCACTCAGGGTTGATTTTCTTCAAAATGGATAGGTTTGTTCTCTGTGCAGTCCAGGGACTCTCAAGAGTCTCCTCCAGCACCACAATTCAAAAGCATCAATTCTTCAGCAGTCAGCCGCCTTTATGGTCCAGCTCTCACTTCCATATATTGCTGCTGGAAAAACCATAGCTTTGACTATGCGGACCTTTGTCGGCAAGGTGGTATCTCTGCTTTTTTATGAAGCTGTCTAGGTTTGTCATCGCTTTCCTCCCAAGAAGCAGGCATCTTTTGATTTCATGGCTGCTGTCACCATCTACAGTGATCATGGAGCCCAAGAAAGTAAAATCTGTCACTGCCTTCATATCTTCCCCTTCTGTTTCCCAGGAGGTAATGGGACCAGTGGCCATGATCTTAGTTTTTGTGATGTTGAGCTTCAGACTTTTTTTTTGCGCTCTCCTCTTTCACCCTCATTAAGAGGTTCTTTAATTTCTCCTCACTTTCTATGAATTTTATAATTCATCAGAGTGGTATCATCTGCATATCTGAAGTTGTTGATATTTCTTCTGGCAATCATAATTACGTATTGGGATTCATCCAGTCCTGCCTTTCGCATGATGTATTCTGCATATAAGT